AAACACACACACACACGCACTCTCTCTCTCTCTCTTTCTCTCTCTCTCTCTCACAGACACACACACCCACACACACACACACACACATACACACACACATACACACACACACACACACACACACACACACGAATGGATCCCTTTCCGCCACCAGGAGGGACTTGGATTCCTACAGAAAAGAGATGGCAAACAACTGGAACAGAGGTGGAGACTATAGTGCGGTCAAAAACTCATGGCGCGACTTATCCTCAAATATCTCTTTGAATCAATGTCGCCCATACTTTGCATGTCAATTTATCCTCAAATATCTCTTCGAATCAATGTCGCCCATACTTTGCACGTCAGCTCGTATCAATTTGTCTTAACTTAATCACATTTTCTCACAACAACTGAAGCTCGATTAAAAAACTTTTCTTCATAAATTATATATAAAATACTAAAATTCTCCTTCACGCGGAAAAAGGAATTGTTCACAGCAATGCCCTCTTCCAACACATATTTTGTATACGACGCACATGACCTGCGTCACAGCTCATCAATGACGCGTTTTAGTGGCAAAACTAGTCACAAGAAATTAATTTTATAGTGAACCGTTTTTTGCACAAACATTCTCACAACATGCGTTCAATAAAGATAATCTCGCGATTAAAAATATATAAATGACGGACTTACTTATAAAAGCGATATCGTCCCAGCTGTAAACCTTTTAAAATCAGTAGAAACCGCCCACTATGATTTTTTAAATAAGTATTTAAGAAATAATTTTCTAGAATAGAGCTAACAGGTCTTCAGAAAAATATTGATCTGTTAAGACAAATTGATACAAATCACTGTGCAAAAGCTGGAGAGTTAACGTTCGATAGCTGAGGAGATATTTGATGATAAGTGGCGCCACGAATTTTTGACCACACTCTAATATTATAGTCCAGGACAGAAGTACACGGAGAGCTCTTGTGGGAGGTCTTGTTATGTTTGTTATAGTTATAGTAAGGAATTACGGCGCTCGCAACTGCATAAGATCATGAGTCCAAACGGGGAATCAGGCTTATTCTGCTCACCTCTCAAGCCTCTACAGTACAAAGTCTGCTTTAATATCACGACACCACGGAAAATGCAGTTCGCAAGAGAGTGACAAACGTACAAAAGAAATAGAGGAAAAAATATGATAATAGTAAGGATAAGGGAAAAAAAAAAGCAGCAGTTCCCCCATGTTGTTCCGGCACTGTATGAGCATGACGTTGATAAATCAGCCTATGTATAATTCTACTGGGCATAAAAACGTGTTAGTATCCCCTCTTCAGGAATGGCCTAAAGACAACTTAGTCAGTATCTCTGTTGGGGGG